ACTTCTGGACTGAGTTTGCTGCCCTGAAAGTAAAGGGGCCAAATAATATTGCACGCCCCACTTTTCAGTTTTTTATTTGTTAAAAAAGTTTCAATTATCTAATACATTTCGTTCCACTTCACGATTGTGTCCCACTTGTTGTTGATTCATGACAAAAAATTACAATTTTATATCTTTATGTTTGAAGCCTGAAATGTGGCAAAATGTTGAAAGGTTCGAGGGGGCCGAATACTTTCGCAAGGCACTGTAAACATGTTTTTTACTAAGATGAAGGCTGCATGTTGTGTTGTCAATAAAACAAAGTGTGTGGGTGTCTGTGTCCAGGTGCGAATGTGTTTGTGTGTGAGCATGTGTGTGTGCTTGTGTTTTTTATGTGTGTGTCTGTTTGTATGTGTGTGTGCGTTTGTTTGCATGTATGTGTGTGTTTCTATGTGTGTGTGTGCTTGTGTTTGTATGTGTGTGTCTGTTTGTATGTGTGTGCTTGTATGTGTGTGTGCGTTTGTGTTTGCATGTATGTGTGTGTGTTTGTATGCGTGTGCCTGTGTTTGTATGTGTGTGTGTGTTTGTGTGCGTGTGTGTGTGTTTATATGTGTGTGCTTGTGTTTGTATGTGTGTGTGTGTGTGTATGCACGCATGTGTTTGTGTGTGTGTGTTTGTATGTGTGTGTTTCTATGTGTGTAGCGTGTGCATGTGTGTCCATGTGTTTGTGTGAGGGTTTTTGCTCTTTTGTGCATGTGTGTGTGTGTGCGTGCGTGTATTTGTGTGTGTGTGTTTGTATGTGTGTGCTTATGTGCGTGTTTCGTATCATTAAAAAAAGCTTGTCCATACATTACGCTTGTGTCTCGATCCATAACATGAAGCGTGGCAGGTGTCCCGCGGCGCCCGGTCCTGCTCTCTTGTCAGACGCTGCGGGGGTAGTGGCTTTTCCCATCATGCACTGCCCACGGTGAAGCCAGCCCTCGCCGAAGCAGTCGTTAACCCTTTACGTGTGGCTGCGTTTCAACAGGCATCAGCTAAATTAGCCCAGAACGCCATGTAGCGACGCCAATTTGCGGTCGCGGTCCAGTGATGCTTTTGAGGAGCGGGAAGCAGGTAACTATTGAATTCATTAGCAACAAAGAGAAAGGCTTCACTGATGCAATCTGTCAACAACTCCAGTGGAAAGAGCATTTCTTTGATTAAAAAAACCCTAACTATTTTTATTATTTTTCCATTACAAATACAGGAGGGTCTAAGGACAGTGGGGATGTCGGCAATCAACGACATTTATGGACTTTTTCCTTTTACCTCTTATGAACCAATATGGCTTTATGTGTTTTTTTTTTCTATATTGTTGCATTTTTTTGTGTTTGATTCTCTGATCTGTTTCGGCAAATTCACCATGAGATAACTACTGTTGTGATTTAGATCTATACAAAAATAAATTGCTCTAAATATCCTTAAGATTAGACATATTGTGCAAAAATCAACGATAATAATATTAATAAAGATTATAAATAATTTTTCTATTGCGCTTTTTTGGAAACTCAATAAACATTACTTACTCACTACCCTGTGGCACCTGGTATTCCTAGGTATCTGAGGTACATCATGTAACTCCAACCCTTCTGCCCTAAGGGCACCGTTGCCACGGTGAGGACTTTTTGTTCATATTTATGTACTGGTTTTAATTTTTTTTTTATTTTGTGGTTTGCTTCCTGTTCTTCTTGTTGATGAGACGTGTCTCTCCCCTGCTCCTGCTCTGCTTGCCCTGACTGTCTTTTTTCCTAGAGTTCTGCCTGTGTACAACTTGAAAAAATGATGGAATTAATCAACTGGTCCCTCAACGCAATTGATACTATTTTTTCATCACGTAAAGGCGGTTCTGGAGATGCCGTTTGCCCTGATGGTACGGCGGCTGCTGGGTACGTTTTTGACAACTGGCAAAAGTGGCACCCCGTTTGTCTGTTGGGACTGTCCATCGAGGACATTGAGGATATATACATTTTTGGATTTATGGTAGCAGGGTTCCTCCTGATTGGATTTGGAGTTGGCTTGATCTACCGCAAAGTTGGAGGGCTGTCCACTCAGAAGATTTACGAGCGGCTGTCCGCGGAAAACAAGGAGAGTTTCCGCGAGTTGGTCAGAGTCGTTGTCGAGGGCACAGTGGGGACACAACGGGGTGTGAGTCGGATCGAACATTGCCTTAATGACCTGGGAGTGAGATCTTTGGATGGACTTAAACGCGTGGAAGGATTGATTGAAGGACTTGGGCCTCACGGTTGAACCTCGTACTGACGTGGTCAACTCCGGAAAACGGTGAACAAAGGGTCCAGTTCCAGTATAATTTGGACATATTGGCTTTAGTTTACACTGCCTTTCATTGATCAGCTAAAGTGCTTATACAAATTTCTCCAATGTTTGCAGGCACCTGCGCTATCTTTGTCCTTCACATTCCACCACCCTCACTGCTACACCGGCTACTCAAGGCCGACCCTGGACTCTATCTAACTCAGACTCACAACCCAGAACACCAGTTACCCCCCCCCCACTTCTACATGTCTGCCTCCCTCTCTTTTCAGTCTATGGTGGTCTTCCCCTCCACCTGCCCCACCCACACTCCCCTCTGACGCGCTATATTGGACGAGGCGGGCCAGAGTGATGACTTCCCTTCAAAAAGATCTGCATGTTTTCCACATGTACCGTGTCTCTCCCATGTTTGTTTGAAATATGTGTGTATGTTACTGCTCTCTGCTGTTTATTCTACTGTTTGTCGGATGGTGCCGTAAAGATGGCCCCGTGGCAAGAGCTCTGGTGTGTGTCTTCTTCTCTGTCTGGTGCACACCGGGGTAGTCTTGCACAGTTTTTCCAATGTGGTTTTACTGCAAATGGCAAATAAATGAATCTGAATCTGATGTTATATCTGTGTCTCCCTGTGTGTATTTAGACCCTGTGCTCCTGTGTATCTAGACACTGTGATCCTGTGTATTCAGTCCCCATGATCCTGTGTATTTAGACCCAGTGTTTCTGTCTATTCAGTCCCTGTGATCCTGTGTCTTCAGTCCCTGTGATCCAGTGTCTTCAGTCCCTGTGATCCTGTGTATTCAGTCCCTGCGATCCTGTGCATTTAGACCCAGTGTTCCTGTCTATTCAGTCCCTGTGATCCTGTGTCTTCAGTCCCTGTGATCCTGTGTCTTCAGTCCCTGTGCTCCTGTGTCTTCAGTCCCTGTGCTCCTGTGTCTTCAGTCCCTGTGATCCTCTGTCTTTTGACCCTGAGCTCCTTTGTTAGCCTTTTTACCCTGTATACTTGTACTCATGTATTTTCTAACAGGATATGTTATTTCTAAAACATAAAATGAGTTGTGGGTAATTCATTATTTTGTATACACCAAAGAAAAAAAAAGAAAAACCTTGTTTGTCTAAATCTCTCGTAATAAAGTAAAATTGATTGTACTTTATTGCATTTCTTAAGATTTATTTAACTAGAATCCCATTGGGACGGAAAACCTTTTTATTAAGTCAGCCCTGGCCCAGACGCAGCTCACTCCAACAGTTATATTTTAAACAAACATCATAACATCAAGAAAAAACACATTATTGAAGAAGAAACACATATTATTGAAGCTATATCTATTCTTCTCTTGGAATCGAAGGACGTCTCTTTTCAAAATATTCTAAGCAAAGGACAAAGAGGGGTGAAGATTTTTCCAACTCCAGGTCAAGGAAGAGGAGTAGAAAGAAAAGTGTTTGTTTGTATTTGCTCCATGTCCATCACTGCAAAAAAAAAAGATAAAATATGAGGTAATAAATGCTAATGTTTTTTTAATCGTAATTTGGTCTTAACTGAAGAACAGTTTTATTTTCTCATTCCAAGAGAGACATTTCTTTTTAAACCAAGATCGTTCGTCCCATTGTGATTTAAGGCGGTCAGAATGGCCTTTTTTCTTGCTTACACTGCAAAAAGAGATGAAGTCAAAAACTGCTAAGATTTGGCTAAATGTATATTTATTTGAGCACATATAGCAGGGGTGTCAAACTCATGTTGGTCAGGGGCCGAATAAAAAGACTAGGAACTGGTCCGGGGCCAAAAGAATTGAAACTTAATCAAATATAAAGTTAGGTTAAGTTAAGTTATACATTTGGGTTACAATGTTAGAATACATTAAGTTTAGTGGTTTTCATGAGAATGGCTAAAAACCCATTACCATCAATTCTGTAAATTATTAATAATAATTAAATATCATCTGAGGCGCCACCCAAAATAGTACGTCAGGAGCAATGTTCGACCTAGCAAAGCGCCCGGGACCGGAGCTGGAGGATTTAATGAACCTAGTGTGCATGTTTTTAGTTGTAGGGGAAACCAGAGTGTACCCGGAGGAAACCTATGCAAGCACGGGGAGAACATGCAAACTCCATTCAGAAAGACCCCGTTCCGACCATGATTCGAACCCAGGACCTTCTTGCTGAGAGGCGAGAGTGCTATCCATTCAGCTAATGATTTGCAAATGGGACAAACAAAATGATCTTGTTTTAAAAAGAAATGTCTCCCTGGGAATGAGAAAATAAAGCAACATATCTTTAAAAAAAAGGGTAAATGGCTTTGTCCCATTGGTAACTCTTGTTTTAAGACAAAAACACTTGATTCAAGCATTCATCACTTCATTTTTTCATGATTGTTGGTGCGGTATTCGACCTGCGGTATTCGACCTCCTCTTGCTTCACCAATGACATCCAGTGCAATGGTGTTTCAAGGTTCAAACAATTTAATCCACACAATAACAATTCATAATCCACAAAAGGTCTTGAGAAAAATGGCAAAAAGACAAGAAGGGCCATTTTCCCCACACTTGAAAAAAATAAAAAACACTTGAAAACCGTGACCGCACGCAGCTGATTGGCCGCAGCAGCTGGAGCGGCGACCGTCCTCCATTCGCAACCTACTCCACTGACCTGCTTTCAAGAGAAGACGGGCAACCTACCTCCCCCAACTCCCCCCCCCCCCCCCCTTCCCCGTCTGCACAATGGAGGTGGGGGTTTGGGTGAACGAGGGCTGGCTGGAGGGGAAGCCAGCGCAGAGGTCTCATCACACACACTTGACAGAAGCCGAGCTCTGGGCGATGGCGAGACGCTTCCATGATGTATGAAGACAGTCGTTTGCCCCCCCCCCCCCCCCACCCACATCCCACTACGGAGCGAAGGTAGAAACGAGAACGACGGTGTGGATTGAGCAGTGTGTATCGACTAAGACAACTAATACGCACAGTTGTTGTGTTAGCGCAGACCTGGGCAGGGTTAGCCTCATACCAGTCCGTAACTTATCTGAACGAATCAGGCTTTCATTCATATAAAAAAAAGCAAAAATATGAGGTAATAATTGCTTGAATTATGTGGTTTTAATCTTAATTTGATTCTGGCTGTCTTAAAACAACCAATGAGACAAAGCCATTTAGTCTGTATTCGAGAGTTGTTGCTTTAGTTTCTCATTTCAACACTGCAAAAAATGATCTAATGAAAAATGCTCAAATTTGGTTAAATGTCTCTAGATTTGAGCACGTTTTGACTGCCTTAAAACACGATTTGCCTGTGGAGCAAGAAAAATCATCTTGTTTTAAAAAGATACAAGACATTTCTCTCTTGGAATGACAAATTAAAGCAGTAGTTTTTGAATCAAGTCAATTGTTTGTCTCATTGAAAAATCTTGTTTTAAGACAGTCAGAATGAACTCAAATTAAGATAAAAACAACTCGATTATTATCTCATGTTAGATCATTGTTTGACTATTTTGCTTGTCCCATTATCAAATAGTGACACATTAAATTAACACACATTTCTATTCTTATTAATTAATCCAAAATTTGACGGGGGGTCGTGGGTTCAATCCCCCCACAAAACCTTGTCCAACTGCTCCCACTCATGTCTACTGTCGTTGTGTCCATAGGCAAGACACTTTACCTCACGATGCCCAAAGCCCCCGCTGAAAGACCAAGGCTGCGTCACCGCGGAGGAAGTAGCGGCCATATTTCCACGGACTCACTGTTTTTTCACACCTATTTTGCAGTGTCTGTCTTAGTTTGAGGAAAAGTATTGTCCGATTACAATGATTTCAACTGTGCGACTTCCTTCAGAACACCATAAAACCGTCCATTTTAGATCTAAACCCAGCAGAAAGATGGCAAGGCAAGGCAAGCTTATTTGTATAGCACAATTCATTAACAAGGCAACTCAAAGTGCTGAACAAAATAAGAGAGCATTAAAATCATAAATAATCACAGAACATTGAAAAGAAAGATACAAATATAAAATCCCTCAGTTGTATGCACAGCTAAACAGAACTGTTTTCAACCTGGTTTTAAACATTGTCAGAGAGGAGGCCTGTCTCACATCTTCAGGAAGATTGTTCCAGATTTTAGCAGCATGAATCTGAAAAGCAGCCTTCCCATGTTTAGTTCTGACTCTGGGCACTAACAGGAGTCCAGTCCCTGTGCTCCTCAGAGTCCGGGCTGGTTCATATGGGACTAACATGTCACTAATATATTTTGGTGCGAGGCCATGGAGAGACTTGTACACAAGCAGAGCTGTTTTAAAGTCTATTCTCTGAGCCACAGGAAGCCAGTGCAGAGACCTGAGGACTGGACTAATCTGGTCGTACTTCCTGGTTCTTGTCAGGACTCGAGCTGCTGCATTTTGAATGTACTGCAGCTGTTTTACAGCCTGTTTGGACAGACCTGTGAGCAGGCCATTGCAGTAGTCTAACCTACTGGAGACAAATGCATGGATAAGAATCTCCAGGTCTGCTTTAGACACTATGTTTTTGATCCTGGCAATGTTTTTTAGATGGTAAAAAGCTGCTGATGTTACTGATTTGATGTGGCTATTAAAATGTAACTCTGAGTCCAGTATTACCCCTAGATTTCTGACCTTGTTTGAAGGTTTTAGGGAGAGAGACTATAGGTGACAGATGAACCTAAAGAAGATAAGATAGGATGGACTTTATTGATCTCGCACAGGAGAAATGTACATGTTCCATTGGCATAGATAGGATCACTCAGATTTGTGCAAAAGACAGAAGTGTGCAAACATGATAGAGGCAAAAAATATAATCTGTTCAGGATATATTATGTACAATAAAATAAAAAGTGGCAATTGAAGAAACAGTTTTTAGTCCTAGAGCATTAGTGACTTAAAGTGACTTATTGTACAGTCTGACAGCGGTGGGGATAACTAGATGGGAGCGTTGCCTATTCCAGTCATCTCCATCAACTCTCCTCAGATGAAGCCACAGCTGGATCGTTGGGTCGTGATGGAGGCGGCCGTGTCTTTGCCCTCGGGCCCCGTGGAGCCCTCTACAGGCTGTGACCCACATTAGGAGACCCCCAGGAGAAGACCCCATGGCATGATCCCACATTTTTCAGCGTTCATGCAAGGATTTAGTCTGCCCTTTACCCGATCCATCACCTCAGACCTGGAGACTCTGAGATCTACGCCTTGTAACACGCTGCAAAAAATGAAAACAAGATTTGCCATCTAGTTTTATTTCAAGAACTGTGCTTTACTTTCTCATTGCAAGAGAGACATTTATTTTTATAATTTTTTCTTTTAAGGCAGACAAAATGTGCTCAAATTAGGCTTGATTTGGCCAAATTTGAACACTTTTTGCAGTGGCACCAAATGTTCTAAATGAATATAATAGTTTTAAATTAACATGGAATTAATGAAAGAAGGTGTTCCTAAGATCAAAAAGAAAACAAAGTATTAAAGTAGCAATATGGCCCTAATATTTCAAAAGGCATTATTAAACCATGCTCTTTTTGAATGCTTCTTTAACTGATAACAGTAGTTCAGCCAAGATTTTTTAATTAAAAAAATTGTTTTACAGCCCCTAAATCTTGTTATTGTTTTTATTTTGACATCCCGCCCTCCACTATTTTACCGTCGAGGAAGTCCGTCATCCGGGTTGCCAGAACTCACCGCAGCTAGCTAATCTCACTGGTAAAATAACATGTGACCGCAGAACTAAAAAAGGTCTTGATATGATTCTCAAATCATTTATGACAAAACAACGAATAAAACGAGAAATCATGTCGGGATGCCTTTGAAATCTTGCTTCATTGAGAGTTGGAAAACCTGCTTCGGAACCATTGTATATTAAGTGTAACAGTGGTGTTGTGCTTATGCCACAGCATTTGCACCGAGGTCACCAGCGTTCGAGTCCGGGTGAGTTGAGTGTTTTGGATTAAACTAAACATATCCGTCAAAATAGAGAATATTTGGGGGGTTATGTCAAAATATCCCCCCCGGAGGAAAACCTGATGCTGATACGCCGAAGTAATATGTTCCAACATTAGCACGGCTATCATGGTGAATGGAGACAGACAAACAACTGATACAATAATTCCGTGTGCTTGCTGCTGGATTTGCATGCTTATCTGGCAACCTGAGTCAGGGAGAGTGGGAGAGGACTACAAAATATGGACTGTGACTGCAGTACCACTTTTGGCCAGATTGTTACATACTGCTCCTTTAACAACGTACTATAAAATCCATTTCACTAGTTTGGACATAAATATAATGCTTTTTGTCACATCTTTAGATCAGCTTTTTCAGGCAGAAAAACGCCAAGCCATTTAGCTTATAACCCAAAGCATCAAAATGTGACTCCCAAGGGTATTTCTAATATACAACACATTTCTGATTTGTTTTCTATTAATATGAAGATAATTTGACTCTACTTTTTTCTTTTGGAACTCGGCTCAAAAGTGAGTACCTGTCCATGTTTTTTTCTTGGCACACGGCGCTCTATATCTGTCCCAATATATGATTTCTATTATATACAATTTTGCAACAGTTTCTCACACAAAGTCGCTGCCATCCTGCCCTCGGTCTCCAGCGTGTGACATATATGGAGCGCTGGCAGACGGAAGCTCCTTAAATATTCATGCGGTGTCTGGGGTCACGGCGGAGGAGACATGGCGGGCTCATGGAGGAAGGTTTAGATGTAAATGTCAACATGTGTGCTCAAGAGTTTGGCCATCGTGACGTTTGGCAGACGATACTGTAGCTGCTGTATATGTCTGTCAGCTTGGTTAGTCCCCGATCGTGGTGACAAACAGACACACGCACACACTCAAACACACACGCAGAAAACTATGTGTCGCAATTGTGAGACAGGACAAGGAGAGGGGGTTGTTAGGCAGACAGGGATGGGAAAGATGGATGCCAGCTCTCTGTGTCTGTGTGTGTGTGTGTGTGCCCCCGAGGTGAAGAAAGGCTAATGGTTGCTACACATTGAGAATCGTGTCACAACAAATGTCACACCTGTAAAAGTTTTATCTCGAGTTTGAACTTTCTCGATTTCCCAAAAATAGAAAACTGTTCTGTTTGTCATGTAACTACATCGCTTTAATATAGGCGCATTTAGACCTCGGGTGTACAAACTATGCTAGCTAAGCAGGGCAGGCCAAGGTTAGTACTGTGATGGGAGACCTCTGGGAACACCTGGTGCTATAGTGGGGCGGCTGTGGCAGTGAAGCGCCAAACTGTGTGGTTGTGTACTTAGGCAAGACACTTCACCTGCATTGCTGAGAGTATGTGTGTGTGTATGTCTGTATGTCCAAAAAGTGGTATATAAAACTTTCAATCTGGGGTCCAACATAATTATCCACTGATTTCTTAGAGAGCATTTTTTTCCTAAGTTGATAAATTGCATCTTTGTCAAAATTGAAAAAAGCAGACAAATAATTACTTTTATCTAGCACACGCTTGCACATGTTTGGATGGAACTAAAACTGGACCATGGTAAAGAAAGGCTGTTATTGTAGACTGAGAGGGCAGAGGACATTTTTACATTCCTTGGAAAATGTGCTTAAGGAAAATGAGGTATAACAGGCCACTGTAGCACATCACCTCTGACCAACAAGGCTCGCAATTTCCACAAAAAATGGTTTGGCTCCACCTCTTATTCAGACAGAATGGACAAGGAGACACATCTGCACAGATTTGTGCCAGACGATCCAGATATTGGCATGAATGGAGATAAAAAACCACTCTAGGTTTGTTTTTCATGAGGAACAATAAAATATAAAAGCTTGAAAAAAATCGTCGCCAATATTTCATAGTTCTATGCAACTTTAGATCAACTTTTTCTGACATAAAAGTGAAAAAGAGAGGACCAACCTCACTCGGCCAATCAGCTCAAAGCGTCAAAGTGTCAAAGGGGCTAATTCTTACAAGTATACAAACAATAACATGGGTTTTTTTTCTGAAAAATTAATTATGTTTTTATCATACAGGAGAAGGGAAGGGGGGATGGGGGGTTAGAAAAATAAATGAAAATTAAACACACAAGAAATTCAAAAAATACAAAATAACATCACAATAAATAAAATAAAGCAAAAAACATGAAGGGGGCGATGAGAATGTACATACACATCACACCCATAACACTCAATACATTGGGCATATACTGAATTAATAGAAATAAATAATGTTTCGTTAAAAAAGATGAAGACGGCATGCTGTTGTCTGGCCTTTCACTACAATACCCTTAACTTGTGATGCAATACCGGAATTTCCCCACTGTGGGACAAATAAAGAATCTCTTAAAGAAGCTATACCCGATTTTTTTTCTAAGTAGTTCATAAAAATGCTTTTTACTACATACAAGTTGTATCATAATACATCATTTAATTGAAAACTTGAGGTAATTGATTCAGCTGTGTAAGAATTACAAGCAGTGAAAAGTGCTGAGTAGAGTCTGAGCGGGCCGCTCTTTCTCCTCCACTCACAGAACGAGCAGTGACCAGCCTGCGTCCTCTAGTCTCTACAGCGCTGCTAAACACCAGGGTTTCGACTTCAAAATTCGAATATAAATTCTAAAATAAAAAATGATGAACAAAATAATTGAATAAAAAAATGTGAACAAATCTTAGACAACCCTTGTAATTCGAAATGTATTTAATGACTGTAAATAAAATAGTTAGCTCCCAAAGGTTTCACCGGGACGTGCTAGGCAGGTAACAGCTAAGCTAGCTAACTGTTTCATGGTAACTTCCGGGTTTTTCGCAATCGCTTTTTGTCACATTGAAACAGTATTTTTGTTATGAAAACGTTAACAGCAAATTCTGAAATCATCCGTGCATGTGTGTTAAGGATGTATATGTATACTGTTTTGTCCGATTGACGTTTAATGGTGTTGATTGATAGATATGTAGTTGTTTATTGAGCGTGGCTAGCTCCGCTAGCTCCGTTGGCTTCTCTACACAGACGAGTGATAGTGATAGGCGCTGATAGCTTGTACTTGCGGAGTAATGGCAGTATTTTACACACCTGAATTACAAACAGAGGTTGCATTGGGGCTTCGGTCATTATTGGTTTGAGAGTTCTGTTATCAAGAAAAAATTCGGAAGAATTGCTGCTACTGCTGTGAGGAGCTCTATAACAAATTATAATTAAATATTAGAATATATTCTAAGGTTTTAAATTAATACATTCGGACGCAAAACTAGCGGTATTCTTTTACTTATATATTGTGTTAGCAGTGCGTTGCTTTAGTGCCATTTCATCAGTGATTGTTGCACAGCTTACAAGAAGTTGCGCTAATGCTAATGTTAGCATATGTATCAGATCGCAAATAAAACTAGGTGACTCTGTGTTATGAGAGCGTAGGGGAAATGAGAAGCCTGTGAGCGAGTTGAGGGGCGGTGCTAAACATTCAAACATTGCAGAAACGGGTATAGCGCCTTTAATCTTAAATGGACCCTCGATGGCCATATACCACACAAAGAGAAATAGAGTCGACCATTTGGATTTCCGAGCAGCGCCTCCTCATGCCGTGACCTTGCGTGGCCGTCTCCATCTCCGCCCGCTCTCCCTGTCTCAACAGCGCTCTAATGTACGCTGGAGTGTCTGGGCCTATTTACCATTAGGGCCCTCCAGTCTAATCAGGGGATAGGGCACTTTTTGGAGAGTGTGGAGAAAGCCCTCGAGCCCGAAGCCAATCAACACCTCATCAGGGGCCTCCTTCACCCCCTTTGTCTTTGTCTCTAATACGATCCAACGCAAAAAGTACAGACAACAAGATGAAGGAATGAGACTGGGCTTAAAATAAGGTTTAGATTCCAGAGCACTGGGAAATGAAGATGAGTGGGAGGAACCATATGTAACTATGATTAGAAATAGAGAGATCCTGTATTCGTCCCATGGTGTAAGTGAAGAAGATAACAAAGTCTGGGATCGCGTCTTTCATTCAGACAGAAGACATGTTTTATTGTCAATGGTAGAGACAGCACGAACACAGATACAACAGAATGCAAGTGTATTATACAGAGCGGAGGCATGGAGACCTCCAATCAGCAGCTGCCACGGTGC